GCAGTCAGGTTCTGGGGCAGCCTGCCAAGGGGACTAGTGGGGACAATAAAACTAACCAGTTTTTGGTTGGCACTTGAGAAGCTTTCACAAGGGATTATGAGACTCTACTGGTCACGCTTGGTCACCAGGAGCCTCCTTCTCACTTCTGCTCCCACTGAACAGATCATCCATCTTCCCACATCTCGAAGCCAGTGCTAAACGCTTCAGGGGCAGATGTAGGGAATCCCACAGGGGACAGGGCAAAGCCTCCCCAGAAACATTTTCTCCTGATCTGAAGGGGCTGGGACTTCACTTGCGCCCTGGAGCAGGAGGGCTCAGAGCTGCTTTTAGCGCATGCACAAGTGCTGCAGTAATTCTGGATGTTCTTGTCACCTGTATATAAGGGTCATGGCTCTTGAATCCAGCTGACATTTTGGTATTTATTGAATTAATCACAACATGGATATAATTGCACAGAGAATTTTGTTGCAAATGAACTCCTTTCCCCAGCAGTGGAAGAGCCTGCCACCAGCAGAGGAGGCAGAGGAAAATCCAGCCCAGCAGTTCCACACCGCATCGGCAGGGATGCTCCCAGAAAACTGGAGCAGCCCCAAAGAGAAACACCTAAGAGGTGGGGGGTTGAGGAACCAAACAGAGAAAGCAGGTGTTTTTTTTCTGAGTTTTGCAGCTAAGTGCTGACTTGTATTAGGAGAAGGGATGAGGAAAGAAGAGCCCTGCAGGTGGGAACACAGGCAGACACCCATGGAGAGGATGGCAAAGATGGAAAGGGGTCATAGAAGGGAAACAAGTAGCTATTCCAGAGCATAAAAAGAAGACAGGAAGGATGTCAGGGGTCTGAGAGATGCATTTGCAGCTGCTGACATGGACCATGGGACTCTTTCGACTACTGTACCTTGGCAGTGCGTCATAGTCCTGCAGAGCCGGGGCCTGGTCTAGCCGTGGCACGAGGCAGGCACACCCCTCAGCTGTGGCTGCCAGTGGGGAGCCTTCGCGAGAAGGTACGGCCCCACGGGAAGCAGACCGGGACACCCATCTGTCTGTCTGAGTTCACTCAACAGACCAGACTGTCAGGGACCAACCTTCCACAAAAAGCCTTTATGGGGGAGGTGAGCCAATGCCCCATGAGAAACCTGCTGTCACGAGACATTCCCCGCCCCAGCCAGTGTGGCTCAGCACAAAGGAGGCTTGGTAGTGTTTGACAGATACTTTGATACACACCAGCCCATCCCTTCACCAAAAACCAAACCCAAAAAAACCAACCCTTGTTTGAAGAACAGAGCCAAGGGTGGCCTCAGCAACCCCCATAAACAATACGTTGGCTCCCTCTGAGGGGAGCCCTGCTGAGGGCCATCGAGCACAAAGACCCGCTCTGCCTCCAGAACTCCCCCAGCATGAACCACTGGAGGATGGGAAGCACATGGGCAAGTCCTGCAGGGTGTTTGCCCAGCTGTTACGCTCCCCTCCACTTGCCAGGTACAGATGGGCACTGCAGCCGATGCTGGGCTGCTGGCCCCATGGTGTCTGACACCATCACCTTCAAAAAGGGGGACAGCAAGGGCCCCAGAAGAAATTGTGCCCCCAGTGACCCAATATGAAGAATTACCCTCGTTAACCACAATTCCTAACAAGAATCTGTGGCTACCTCTCAGCACAGTGTGGCTGGCAAAATTCAGACATCACCCTCCTCAGCCTGGTGTGAACTGGAGGAGCAGGGATAGGTCCTGTCCTACCTCCTCCTTTTCTGAATCCACCTGTGAAAGCCCCACATACGATACCCACAGAGGGGTTGCAAGGCATCACTGCGCAAGGAGTCGTTACGCTTTCTGCGCTAGAGCTGGCAGATCTCCTGCTCCTCAAGCTGGGGCGAGCACTTCTCCATCCCCTCTCTTCTACAATCCCCTAAATCTCAGTCCTTTGCCAGGGCTTAGGGTGTCACATGTCCAGGTATTTCCGTTCTGCCCTACTCAGGGCCTGTGTTATCAGCCTTTTCTTTGGGAGAAAACAGGGTTAAAACCACAAATACATTTAAAATTAAAATGAAACCCTATAATAATAATGCTCAGTACTTACCTCACTCTTGCCATCTGCAGAGTGATTTACAAATGTTAACTAATTAATTAATCTTCACATCTTCTCTGACTGAAAGTCAGAGTCACGGCTGAAGTGAGCAGGAAAATAAAAAGCGTGGTTTTCAGGTGAAGGGCAAAGGGAAACCTATGCTCCTGCCCGCTGTTTGCCATACGGCAAGGCAATTTGCAGCAATATTTTCATTCTGCACTGCACACCTCTCATTTATTTTTCAGTCATACCAAAGGTCTGAAGTAATTTTATCTGCTACCTTCTGTTCCTTTTTCTTAACAGAGGTCTTAAAAGGTGTTCCCTTTGAAAAAGTAAAGAAAATGGAAGACTTTCAGAGCTGTGCAGATGCCCCTTGAGCAAACGCGCTTAATCCCAAACTCTTCTGACAACCACAACACAACCAGCCTCGGGAGGGGTGAGTAAGAAAATGGGAAGGGGGAGCAAGGCCTACGGCTGCGTTTGGCAAATGCCACTATCAGAGAGCTGACCTGAGCTTTGGAGAGGGGGGAAGCTGGATGCCACAAAACAAAGTTACGTCAGAAGCACGCAGGCAGACTTGCCATGGCTGCGATTTAGCCATGAGAATCTGAGCCTGGGGCTTCAGCGCAGCCTAGGGCTACCGTGGTGACCCCCGCCCAGGACCCTGTGTTGGTCCACAGTCCAATTGCTGTCACCCGTGTGTGGGCTTTTGTGCTCACAAGATCAATGCCAGCGGGCGTACAGAGCTCAGGCGCTGCTCCGCCTTGCCGTGTGCTGCGCAGGGCACTCAGGCAAGCGTGCAAATCACACACGACTGGCCTGGAGCTCTCAGTGCTGGCTCGGGATGCTTCAAACTCCGTTCCCAGGATCTGCAGCCCAGATTTAAACTGTGGATTCAGAGTGTTTAAAAAAAAAGCCACAGTGCGGTTAAAGAGAGCGAAGCCCAACAGGTCAGAGAGGAGCTGAGACATTTGGGACAAAGAGCTGTTCCTAAGCAGCAGCGGGACTTTTGTGGGGCACAAATATCCTCCTCCATTATTGCATTATTGGTAACCTCAGCTCTCCCTGGAAGTGCCACCGCTCCCGCTGCCCCGTTAGGACACGTGCTTTGTCCGGCTGCTTGGCTCCATCCCAAGGCCATTCTCCTCTCTCCTTCACATCACACCCCAACGGCTTTGCAAGCAGCTCCTCTTTGAAAGGGCATGAGGCGCCAGACATTTGGCAGGTGCTCAGGGCTTGCCAGGTACCTCGGTCCCAGACTAACCCTTCCCAGGGAGCGGGAGAATCTGGTATGCAGGAACACCATTGCTTCTTGCAGACAATCACAAATGCAGTGACCATGGTGACTCCCCTCATTGGGAGAGACAGACGAAGGTGATACGATGCGGAGAGAGGAAGGCTTGAGGTAATTTAAACAAAAGCTGAAAGCGTGTTCACAACCCTTCCCTGCAACTTACAGAAAACAGGACTCGCCCAGTAGACTCCCTGTTGCCGCAGATTAGCCAGACCTCTCTAGGTGGGTTGAGATGACCCTGGCTCATCTGCCCCCTTACACACTCCTGCAGGCAGATTTGCATCTCTCATCCGGACAGCTTCATGCCAAATCCCTCCTGATTGGTGCTGTCTCACCAGATGACTGCAGCGAAGGGACCTTACGCTTCGGGGCACAGAATGGGGGAAAGGTGTGGGGCTGGCCTAGCTCTTGGAGACGGCAGCCAATGATGGCTGTCACCCCGGGACAGCTCGGCACATCCCCGCCCCGGCAGAGCTGGCTGGCACATCCCCGCCCTGTGACTTTACACACAGGGAAGAAAGCTGCCTGAAAGTTTTCTGAGTTCGCAGGTTCGAGTGACAAGGGGTTTCCCACTGAAAGTTAGCGCTGTGCTACCGCAGCCCAGAGTTAGTAAAACAGCAATATTGCACAAACCAGCATTTTGTGGGGTTTCGAGTATTGAGATGACACACCTTGCTCCCACTAAACCAAGCATGGTCTCACCCTCCCCTCCCCACCCCCTTAACAAGGCACGTTCCCACCTACACAGTTCCAGCCCTCACTTGCCTGCAGGGGGAGCTGACCCAGAAGAACACTCGCCCAGGCCAGTGAATTTAAAGTCTCCATGCAGACAAAGACGAGGGCTTTCCCTTGTTGGATTAATTTTCCGGTGGTTTGCTCACGCACAGACACCCAAGTTCAGGGAATCAAATTTTAGCATTGGCACAAGGGGAAAGGCAGAACCAAGCGGGGGTGGGAGTCATGGTGTCAATTTACAGCAGCGCCACACCATCCTGGAACAGCAGCGCGACACTCGCATCCCTCCGACCTGGCTTCAAGCCAGCCTCAAGGATGCATCCTCTGAAGAATCTGATGGTTTTTTTCTGGGCATCTCACAGGAGTCGACTTCACTAAAAATATCTTTTTCGACCAGACTCCGGTATCACCCAAGAATGGCTTAAGCAGCATCTATGCCATGAAAACTCACCCAGATGGGCACTGACTCTGTCACCTTCAACTCTCTGTCAGACAAGTCCCCGCGTGGCTTTCCGTTTTGTCCAGGACCACTGGGCACGTAGTACTGACGCCTTTTCCTCAGTCTCTGCACCTTCAAGCCCTGAGAGTACCTGAAAAGCACCGCTTTTGAACACTCCAGATGCAAATCAATTCCACGAGAAACTCTTTAAGTAAGATTTATGCTTCGTTCCTCCTTTATGGACTCTCATCCCAGCTTTACCGAGGTACTGTGGCACTGCCCTTTGGAAAAAGAAGCGAGTATTTTGGGGATAAATTCCACCCAGAAATGGGATAGAGGCTCTCAGTATCACAACCTATTTTGGAACATCCAGAATCAGTACACGAGACAAAGAGACACCACCATAGGGGCACAAGTTTGTATAGATATGTCCATAGATCTATATTTTTATTGTTTTATATATATTTATAATATATTTATATATTTTTAAAAGAATCCCTTCAAAAACTACCCTCCCACCTAGCAAAACAAAGATTAAACAATCAAAGATGGCAGCTGCTTCCTGGAGCAAAGTATCCCAGGGGTCTCAGAGCCAAAATGATTGCTGAGCACCAGTACACCCTTTCCAAGCTTCTGCGATGCCCTGTGGGTGCAAAGGTGACCTACACAGTTTTGTGGCTCTTTAAGTTGACCTGTCAAAAGACAGGGAGAGAGAAAGAAACAGGTGGCTGTGGTGATGAGGGGGGTTTTGGGGTAGGGGAAACAGCAACGCATACAATTGGAAGCTCAGAGTGTGAAATGCTACAATGAAGAGGAGGGAGGCACTGCCTGGAGAGTCGGTAAAGAAAACAGGAAAGAGAACAAACATGCAGGAGAATTAGTTGGCAAGATGGATCTCAGAGAAGAGCTCAGAAGCATCACACTTGGGACCTTTGCTACCCCTCCATCCCCCAAATCTCTTCCTCTCACCCTCCCAGTTGTGAAGGGACATCCAACTAGTTTGATTTAGACCAAATCTTCGCACTGCCCCGGAGCCTGTGGAGAGACAAAAAAAGAAACCAAAACAATTCAGAGTGGACACCAAGGCTCACCCCAACTTGCTTTTCTAAATGCACACGAAGAAGAGCAGACAGTGTTCTTCGCAGGAGGCAGAAGACTTCCCCCACAAGGAAGGCTTATGAACTTCAGCTCGAGAGCTGCAGAGACCTTTCCTCAAATTAGTACGTATCCGACCATCCCACGTCCAGGGAGTAGACCCCTGCAGCCAATAACCTCACTGCTCTGGAACAGGGCTCCCCACAGTTCACCTCCAGAACATGCACAGAGAACGGGCTCTGTTTGTTCACTCCCACTCCTCACCCTTTGGCTTTGGAAGTTTTCTTGCTCGCCTGGCGCTGGTTGGTGCCAGGGGCCGGCTCCCTGAGCTCTGTTAGGTGCTGTTCCGGGTCCTGGGATGTGGCTGCTGCGGCAGCTGCTGTTGTCACTTTAATGGTCTTCTTCAGGTTTGCTACCTGCAACAGCACAAAAGCAAGGACCAAGGAATTTCCCACGTTTTTTTTGTTTGGTTTTTTTTGTTTGCTTGCTTGGTGGTGGGGTTTTTTGGGTTTTTTTTTTTGTTTGTTTTTTGTTGGTGGTTTTTTGTTGTTTTTTTTTTTAAACTTTGTTTAGGGATTTTTTTGGGGGTGGGGTGGTTGGTTTTTTTTTTTTAAGCAAGCCCTGCATTTAAGAGCTTCAGGCGCAACCCCCTGGGGGTCTGGCCTAGGGAAAAGGCAATGCCTTACTTGAGCAAAGACAGTAACAACCACAGGGTGCTGGTTCTAGTTATTTTTAAGTGAGGGGCTGCTCCCTCCTTGGCCCACTCACCTCACTCTCTATCTGCTGCTTAAGCGCCAGCTGTTGCTCTTTATGCTGGTTGGCCCGGCTAACCTGTTCTTCAATGCCTGACAAGACAACCTCGCAGCCCTGGCACCTGGAGAGAAGACGTAGAACTGAACAGGCCAGGTAATTCACACAGCATAGAAAGAAACATGAAAGATGACAGATTTCAACCCCAGAGGCCAAAAAGACCAGAAGGTGATGGCTACACCAGGCAGGGAAGTCCAATGTAATGGCATAGTGACATCATTACCTGGGAGGGGGACAAATAACAAAGCACCACGAGGTTAGGAACTACAGATGTATACTCAGAAAGCCTCCTGCCAGCAGCCAGGACTGTGCAAAGGCTGCTGCAGTCTCATCACCCCTCCAGTAACAAACAGGGGAATCTGGAAAATTATTTTTGGAAAATTTCTTTCTGTTGGAGTATGGGAAAGGGGATCAAGTAGGCCACCTCACAACACTACCCCCCAGTGACACACAGAGGATCTGGGGAAGCCGCCGGCCACTCCTGCAACCTTTTTTAGGTGTTAGTACTGGGGGCTTCCTCCTCACCACTCCTGCAATGTGCGGGTGATGGTGCTTAGCTCCTCCCTCCGGATGTCCCTCCCAATGCTGTAATCCACCTCCAGGCGCTGGTTCCGCTGATCCAAGCTCCCTCGCAGCACATCTGCATACACAGCCTCAATCACGAGGTCCTCCAGTTGCCGGACGTTCTTCAGCTGTAACTGCTCCAGCAGCACTGAATAGGGGATGCACTGTGGAAATATGATGGTAACTAGCATGAGGTAATCCCAGGGGAAGGAGAACTCGGGGAAAAATAGGGCCACTACCTTGATCTTGGCAGCCAGCGTGACGACTGACAGGTGCCTCAGTTTGTTCTTCTGAGCCTCTGACAAGGGAGGGAGGTTTGCTGCTTCAGCTATTGTCAGGGGAAAGAAACGGGTGTAAGAATTTATGCCTCATTTTCAGAAGCATCTGCACCATACCTGGTTCTTAAAGCTCCCTGCACACCAATCCCCCAAGCGACATTTCGTCTTGCCAGGCCATCCCCATCAATTCTCAGCTCAAAAGACCTTTTCTGAGCAGCCCTTCCTCCCCTCAGCTTCACGCCATCCTCTCCAGCTGTCCCGTGCCTTATTTATGGAGGTCTGCACATCCCAGCGGATACCTAAGTCTTTCCCCTCGCCCCTCAAAAACGTCTTTGTCAAGATGTTCTTGGAAATTCTCCACGCAGCTGGCAAACGCTAGCATTAATTATTGCCAGGTACTCCAGCGGTCTCGGGCCCAAACCGCACTCGGGCGCCTGGTCGGGCCGTAGCGACCGAGGCACGGCTCTGGCTGCAAAGGGGGGCAATTTGGGTGCGGGTCCGCGGCGGCCCGGAGTGCTGCCACGCCCCGGGAGGGGAAGGGCCCCTGAGCCGAG